TATAATTTTAGCAGAAGTTATCGTTAGAGATTTTAAAGTACTTCACAGTTGATGATGACAATATTATGTTGTGTTTATTGTTTTTGACTTTGTTCTCTTCTATTGTTGTTCTCTTGTTCAATATCTTTATACCCTAACTTGCCCCACTCCTCCTTTGTCATGAGCTCACATTCCATCCTACACTGAAGGTAGTCCTTGGCCAGTACTCTACACTGAGAATGATCGGAACTGTTCTCCTTTAGACAAGACATGTACTTTAACATGTGATCCTTACACTCGCCTGAAAGACAATAATAATAACAATCATAATACATGTACAGTGTGGCCTTTTTATTAAAGGTATTATTGGGCCCACACTAATCATTCCAGAGGTAGGTTTCTACCAATTGGGACATTACAAAATGTCCTCATTATAAAGGTGTCTTATATCATAAAGGTGTCCTCATTATAAAGGAGGGCTCACCTACCAGTGTGGTCTAAAGGAAAGCTTCCTTTATCAGGAGGTCTGGCTCTCTGTCTCTTCATATTAGGATTCATGTTGGAGGTGGGCGTGTCTCCTCTCTACACAGGACACACCCACAATTAAAGATGGCCTCCAGGTGGCGGGTGTGGAGCGGAGAGGCACATGTTGATTCTTATCCTAAGGAGGTGGAGAAGGAGCGGGCAGTACAGGAGAGACTCAAGTTCATTCCAGTGGATCATTCTCACTCGTGGGAGGAGTTCCATGAGTTTATTAAGAATAGAACACACTCTTTATCTCCTTACCTTAACGAACTGATTAATAAAGGTAATTAATTAATAATTCATAATAATTAATTAATGTATTTAATAGACAAAAGTGTTGCATCTTCTAGCGGGTTGGGTCGGGCTCAGTTGTTGACATGTTATGTTGATCGTCCGGCAAAGAGACCGGGAGGACTGGCTCAACCCAGGGAGCATACAACAACTGGTAACTAGTAATCTATTAACTAACTAATAATATATTAACTAGTAATATATTAACTCTAACTGTACTACGCACTACCGTACTGTGGCTGCAAATAGAAATGAATGGAAGCTAGGGATCATTGCAGTTTCTTTTGATTGTTTTAAATGATAAAATTTTGCTGAGTTGCTCAATTTTTGTTGATTGGTGTTGTGACTGGAGAGGGTGTGATCACATTTTGGGAATTCTTTTTGAATGTGAATTTCAAAAAATGTTATTATTCCATTCTTGTCTATTATTAGTTCTAAAGACAGTCAGTATATATATGTACATGTACATATACATGTACATGTACATGTATATGTACATGATGTGTGTCTTTTAGATCAAAGGTGTGTTAGTAATTATTAATTTTATGGTTAGTTTGATACTTCTGTGTGTATGTATGTGTGGCCTGATCTTTGTGTGTAAATAAGTCCAGTGTGTTTATTATTTGTTAAAATGAATATATTACATTCTCTGTTTATTATCAGAGACATACCTTTATACCTCACTGGTTCATAGTCACCACTCTATGCCTCTATTGTGGTTTATCGGAATTCTCTCCCTTTTTCTCTCCCCCTCTCTCCTTCTCTTATTTTATTTCTATTATTCTCTCCCTCTCTCTCCCCCTCTCTCTCTCCGTCTCCCTTTGTCCCTCTTTCTCTTTCTCTCTCTTTTCTTTTGTGGTATATTCATGGTTGGTTGGGTATTCATAAACTGTATTCATTGTATCTTATTAATGATGTTGTGTATTGATGATCAACCATCCTTTACAAGTACACTGTACACTGTCATAACTGATGCATTTTCTATTTTTAATTTTTATCACTTTTCTTTATCAATTTATCTCTAGATGATGATGGCTAGTCCACCAGTGTTGTTACAGTCCAGTCAGTAGTGAAGTATGTAGCTATGTACATGTACATGTTCTTAGTATGTGTGTGTGTGTACTGTCCCTTCTCTCTCTCTTCCTTGATATTTCTGTCATTTTGCCAGCCCTAGTTCCTCCTATAGTGTTTATCTTATTCTTAGCTAGTGTTTATGTACACTTTTTGAAATATATGATTAATTTATTTGTGGTTACTTTAGCTCAGGCTAGGGCTGTAGCCTCCAGAGCCTTTGTCCTTTATCTCATGAAACTCTTTTTTCTTTTTATTTTTTACTTTAGTGTGAATTGGTCCAGTGCTAGTTAAAGACTGATATCACTCTTGTGTAGGGGAATGTCCTCCAGTGGTATATGGCACAACATCACATTACTCAATAGTGCTTGGTACTAGCAGATACTTGCACACAATCTAACTACACCATCACTTCTCTCTCTCTCTATCCCTCTCTCTCTCCATCTCTCCTTCTCTCCCTCTCTCTCTCTCCCTCTCTCTCCCTCTTTTTCCCATAATCTGTACATACACCTATACATGTATTGCCAGTATGCCTAAGTGCACTATATTCCAGTGTACATTGTGTGTGTGTACTAGTACATGAGCGAGTTATATTTCTAGTGTTTTGGATTGGGTGTACGGTCAGGAATGGTTTGGTTATCTTTTATTAGAATGTCAGTTTTTCTAATATTCGATAATTTTGAAAACAACAAATCCATAACACACACCAGTTTCAATAATTATACACTGTTATTCAGTTGAGCTTTACCCAACCACAACTGCCCACAGAACTATCCTCTAATCCCATTATTATTAGGACATTATTAGTATATTATCAGTATATTATCAGTATATTATGTTTAGTGTTTGCACCTGTCCTAATCTTGACATTAACAATAAATTGATTAGTTGGTTATTGTATATCAGACTCTGTTTAGCTTTATAGATATGCTAATTATTTATAGTTATCAAAATACTGACTGTGTGTTTGTATATTAATATGTTTTGTTAATAACAATTATTATTATTATTATTTTTGTAGTTGACAGTCCTAACTAGCCATGATTTATCAGACCTTACTGTATTGAGAATCTGCTGTGTCCTTCACTACCCCTCTCTCTCTCTCTCTCTCTCTCTCTCTCTCACTCACTCTCTTTTGTGTGATACTATTTTGGGATTGAAGTATCGCATTACGATTAACTATTCATTTTTATTTCTCCCAATTTTTTAGACACTTTGTACTTTCATATTACCACAGAATTATCATTTCTCACCTTCTCATTAATTAAATTATTAATTAATGTTAATTAACCGCAATAACTATTAATAACTACCCTGCACTGTATAAAAGGATTCTGTTTTTGGAGTCTAGGGACATTGTTTAGCAAACTCTTCTCTGGTTTTAGAAAACTGCAACAAGAAGTAGCCAAACTTTAGGCTCTCTCCTCATCTTTCTTCTCCTTTGTTATCAATAACATGCCCAGTATGAGTTCTGAACAAAACTACTCTACCAGCAGTCCGGCCGGTCAGACCAGCAGCATAGCTCCACTAGGGACCGCAGGCTCTCCTCCAACTGCTGAAGGATCAGCGACCAGTGTCTGCGAGAAAGAGTTTAGGGAGGCGCTAGAGAAGACACTCCAGATGAGTAAGAGTGGTACTGGTAAGACCCCGGAGCCGGTGGCTACTGTCCCTGCTCGAGCTATCAAGCTAAACCCCTCGTACACTGAGGAATCTGCAGACGACAAGATGGCTAATGTGAAGCCTCCGTACTCTTACGTAGCTCTCATATCAATGGCCATACAGAGCTGCAATGAGAAGAGACTGACGCTCAACGGTATCTATGACTTTATCACAAAGAACTTTCCATACTACAGGAACAGGGAGAACCAAGGCTGGAGGAACTCCATAAGGCACAACCTCTCACTGCACGAGTGCTTCATGAAACTGCCAGCAAAAGGAGGCAAGAATGGGAAGAGCCACTACTGGGTCCTTGACCCCAACCATGAGGTGATGTTTGAAGAAGGGAACTATCGGAGGAGGAGAAGGCGTCCAGTCAAGAAGGTAACGTTTCCTCCTTCACAAACCTACGGTCGGTTCCCCTACTATCCTTATCCTGACTATGGACTCACTCGGAGTCTCAATCCAGCAACTGCAGTAGCTACCACTGGCTGGCCTTCACCGGGACCAATGGACCACAGTGCTGCTGGTATGTTCCACTCACCATACTCTGCACTACCTACCTTTAATGTCAATGGTAACAACAACACTTGCAGCGGTCTCAATGCCATTGGTAGCATGGGGACTAGTTCTTTGTCCCATCAAACCTTCCAGCCATCAAGTTATTCTGCTCAGTTCAGCATATACTCTCCTCGTACAATGCAGGAGCCAAGAGGAGGTGCCATTGGTACTAACATGTCCCTCATTACCCCTTACCCTCCTCCTAGTCTTCCTCACAACTCGTACCATTATACCAGTAACCAGTTGTCCGGTGACACCACTCCACCTACGGTCACTGGTGTCCCTGGGGCCACTGTTAAGGCTAGCTACGTCCCTCCAGTCACTCAAAGCAGCCACTTACCGTCTTCACCTCAGGACATATGGAATCCTCTTTAATAATGAACACACACACACACCACAGAGTGACTTACTGACACTGTACTATATTATAATTATAATTATTATTATTTTACTTTTATTAGTTTCGACAGGTTTGTATTATATTATTAATAATTTTTAATTCAAAATATTTCCTTTAATTGAGAGAGTCCTACACACTAACAGCAGGTGTTGAGCAACGAACCACGTAACTAGTGAAAGCTGATACTAGCAGCGTCAGAGACCAATATCACAATAATTATTTAAAATAGTGTCATTAAAAATAAAAGGTAATAATAATACAAAAACTATCATAGATACATGTTCATTCAAATATGGCAGAATACATGAACATTTATTAATAATAAAAATACTGAGGTAATACAACACGTGTCAATGAATTAGGGCTACAAGATACACCCAAGGACTACAGGGAACACACTACAATAACTAGTCATCAATCTATCTCTTGTTGATCCACTTCATATCATCAGAGCGAGGTTTATGACCAGTCACAGCCTCTATGATGTATTCCAGTGTAGTCCAGAACCTTATCTTCTCCAGGGGGTAGTTGAGCCAGCCCGTCGTTATACAGAAGTAGGTTTCATGAGGTGCCACATGATGGATCCTGTGGTGAGCCTTTGGTAGGATGATATGAGCCTTTTGGAGTAGCTCCACCCACTTTGGGAGTCCGTAATAAGTATGAGACCACTTGTGAAACTGGTTAGTGAAGGTAATGAACAACGTCAGAGAAAGACCAAAGGTATAATAATAATAATAATTAATGATGGCATCAGGCGGTTGAGTGACCATTAATGATACCATGAGTATTAGAATGGGCAGTGTTACCAGTGCATTATCACCATTAGCTTCAATATAGTCGTGACGGGTTATAGCAGTCGGGTCAATATGATGCTCTCTGAATGGACGGATGAAAGCCTAAGAAGATAATTGAATATTAGGACAGTATTGAAATAAAAAACATACAAAGTGATGTGTGAAAACTTTCACTTCCTCTTTCAACATCTTTATTTCTCTCTCTCCCACGAAACTCTTAAAGTTTATATTATCATTATCTTCTCCCCCCTCTCCCTCTCTTCCTCCATCCCACTCATTAATCTTCTCCCTCTCCCTCCCTCCCTCTCTCTCCCTCCCTCCCTCTCTCTCCCTCCCTCCCTCTCCCTCCATCCCTCCCTCTCCCTCCCTCTCCCTCCCTCTCCCTCCCTCCCTCTCTCTTCCTCCCTCCCTCCCTCTCCCTCCCTCCCTCCCTCCCTCCCTCCCTCCCTCCCTCTCCCTCCCTCCCTCCCTCCCTCTCCCTCCCTCCCTCCCTCTCCCTCTCTCTCCCTCTTACTTTTCCAATGATAGGTATATCAACAGATCCCCAGGTGTCAGCTCCCCAGTGAACTAGTCCTGACAGGAAATCAGCCAACAACATACCCAACCCTAAAGGATGAATGAACGAACCAATGACCAAATGAATGAATGCATTGATACAGTATCATTAAACTAATACATGTACAGCTGATTATTATCACATTTTCTGATGCAATGATATACAGATTACAGACACTGGCTGAATTTCGCCAAAAAATGAAAGCATGTAGAAAATTTGAGCTCATTTTGATCAAGTTTAGTTTTTACAAATTTTTAAAGTTACTCTAAAATCAGACAAAAGTCCCTGTACTATGATACAGGATTTTTGGCCAAAGTTCATTAAAATTGACAGGGAGGGAATTCCTCAATCTTATTATGTTTTCTGATGCATATTACATGTCCTTTATGTCGTGTGTATAGTTTGACTTGATTTCTATCAAAACTCATTCAAAAGCTGCTCTCCAATATTGCCTGTACTATAAGCACATGGTTCTTACTAGTTCCTCAAGTCGTTGATCATGCGTTAATGGTGGCTGGGTCCTAACCTGTGCTAATCAATGCTCCTGGTATGTGTCTCAGTTCCCAGTAGTACAACAGGCCAGCCACTACCAGTACATTCATTAGAGTGCTCACTATTAAACTACATATCTCCATGTTCCTTTTCCCTATTAAAGAGTATCCTTCAACACAGCCCCCCGCCGGTCCAATCCCTAACACTGTACCTTGAGTGTATCCAGAGGCTAGTTCTTTCGCCCCCTGGTGTCCTCTCCCTCCCGCGGGCCTGCTGTGTGCTTCTTTGAAAGCTTCAGCTCTCAGAGGGCACTCCATTATCAAATCAGACCACTGGCAGTCTGGCACTTAACAGTTAAGTAATTTAACTTAACAGATCCACCCACCCACTTTACTTAAACCACACCTACAACAAGATGGCTTCTCTCAATGTCTTTATAAAGAGATGGAGTCTCTCTTTATTGGGTCCTTGTTCTTGTTATTTAGCGCAGGACAGGCTCATCAAATACTCCTATCCTTTACTGTTAAGGTATTATGGAAAGAGTAAAAGTAAACGAGTTGATAAAAAAAATTAAAATAATTTAATTTTTAATTATTTTTTAGAACTACGAGTGGAGTATTCTGAGGAGGAGAGTGAGATATTGCAGTTGGAACAAGTGAAGGAGAATATGGTGAAGGTTGTTGATAGGTTGAAGTGGCAGTACACGACTTATTTGAACACAAGACTAACACCAGGTACCAGCTATACTCCTGTCAGCACTCACCAATAATCATATAGTCTACTAATGTACTAAATTACTAATGGAGCTCTTAATTATAATTGTCAATCTCAGTGGTGCTGTTAGTGTTAGGGCTGTCAGTCTGTCAATGATTAGTAATGGCAGCAAGTGTTCCCATTATGCTAGAGTAGTCTCCACTCATCCAGCCACACCTTCTGATCCTCCATACAACCCTCTGGCCATACCAAAGGATACATATTGGGAGGTTGTTATTCTAAACCCATTGTTTGTCACTAGGTATGGTTGGTAGCTTATCCATAGCTTATAAAGGGAATAAGCTGCTAGTCAGTGAGATGGTTCAGATATCAAGTCCAAATGCTCAAACCATTTTACTTCACTTTCCACCAGAAGAGGAAAAAGCTGCAAGTTATTATACATTACAGTCTCCAGCCAGCCATTATGATAACTGTCAAACCACAATAATGTGTATAATGTGTGGTTCTTTCTATTGATAGTGTATATCAGCTACTGTGAAGGAGATTATGACTAAATTTAAGAATAACAATGTGAATGTTGATAGATCAATAGTCAGTATTAATGTACCTAGGTATGTACCCATTGGAACTTGTAATGTATTGTAATGTATTATATTCAAGGCCCAGTAAAGAGTTAAGAGATAAGCTGACTAAAGAGGCTAAAGGTTATGCTGATAAAGCAAAAGTGTCTCTGAAAGGAGTGAGAGAGGAGAGTCTGAAGTCACTGAAGAAAAGAGGGACAGGGGCAAGACTACCCATTGACACTATGAGGAGAATGGAGAATACAGTTAGTCCCTCACTCATTGATTGCTAGTGTTCTTTATTGCTAGTATAAGGCAGTGACTGATGAGTATATTGCTACTGTTGAAGAATTGATGAAAACGAAATCAAGCAATCTTCAAAAATCATGACGATTGGAACACTTTAATCTATTCTTTAGTCTTACTCATTTGTCTAATGATTTCATGTTTTCAAGGAATTAATATTTGTGTCAGCTAATGTTTGTGTTCTGGCCATAGCCTCTTTACAAATAGATTGGTATTAGTACTAGTGGTATCAGTAGTGCATTAGTGGGTATTAGTGGTCAGTGGTGTAGCTACATAGGGGCCTGTGGGGGGGAATGCCCTTACAACTGCTTCTTGTGCCCCTGCAGCTAGTCAAGAAAATGGAGAGATACAAGTTGCAACTGACTCAACTGAGCTGCTATATTGAGTATTCATAAGTATTGCTTTATTCAGTGCCCCCACTGTATCCTCACTCTTCATTTAAGCTAGCTATGTCACTGTTAGCTGTACATTATTGGTGGATGGCTGGTGGATTTGTTGTATTTTGTCCATTCCACACTGTGCAGGATTGCTGCCTGCAACTTTTAATGCGTTTCAATGGTGCATGTTGTATGAAGTAGGGACCAATAAGCAGCAGTAGGTATTCTCAGTGTGTTAAAGGTCATCGTGATCATCATTGATTGGTGTACCCATAGCTAATGAATGTACTTAATGAACTCTGGACTATTCTACTGCGCATGCCCAGTAGACTAGTGCAAGAATAAAAATGGCGACTTTGTTTATAGCTCGTAGATTCCTCAGCAGTTCTGTCCCTCGTCTCCACCTCACCATCAGTGTGGCCAGACCCGCTCCTCTCAGCCTCCAGATGAACCTCTCCACCCCTGAGCTCAAGGCTGCATATGACAAGTCGTGTGGCCATTGGTCCAAGTTATCAAAGGAAGAGACTGTGATGTGTATGTATTGTATTGTAGGGAGTGATAGTGTCTGGGTTGTATTGACCCGCTGGCGGTATAAGGGGGGTAGCCATTTGTGTTAGTGAAGTGGCCTAGAGCCTTTATACACTAAGAAAGAGGTCTCAGGGAAGAGAGTCTTAATTATATTATTAATTAATAATAAATAAATGGTTATTATTATTATTATTATCATCATTATTATTATTATGTCTAGTATACAGAGCAACGTTTCCCCAGAGCTTTAAAGAACTCAAGGACGCTGAGAAAGGCTACGGGCCAAAAGTTTTTGCTGGTACAACTTTGGCAATAATAATTGGAGTAATACTGGCTGAGTTCTTTAAAAGGACAAGTAAGTGTATCAGAGAGAGAGAAGGGGTTGTACTGTAAAGTAGGTTCCTACTAACGTCACTTACTGAGCAGAGTGAGTTATTATGACTCTAGCAGTTTATGAGAGTATCATTAATGAATGAGCAGAATCCCCACTGTATTAACCACTGCACTTGGCAGGATCAATGTATTTGTTTATTATTATTGTTGTTGTTTATTGTTGTTTTCCAGTTGGTCCTGAAGTACCCCATACTCTTGATAATCCTCAGTGGGAGGAGGACACTAGGAAGAAGTTGATAAGACAGAAGGCCAACCCGATAGAAGGCATCAGCTCTCGTGTCAATTAATAGCTCCCAATAACTGCTAGTGACTTATTAGAAACATTCCTTAAGCTGTTGAATAGATTATTATTATTATTATTATTATTGATTGGATTATCATAAAACAGTTTCTGCACATTTTGTTACAAGTACATTGTTCATTAATATTACTTTACATGTCCATTACTGTCTGGTAAATGTGTTTGCCATTATCTACCTTTATTGCATTCCCTGATGCATATACATGTACTTACTGTATCTTGTGTACAAAGTTTGAGCATATTCCAATTAAGTTTCGATTTTTTATGATTTTTAAAAGTTGCTCCAAAATAGGACAAAAGTCGCTGTACTTGTAATATTTCACAAAAATCGACAAGTGAAAAATTCCTCAATTTTATTACATTTTCTGATGCATATACATGTACTTATGCTGTGCAGAAAGTTTGAGCTGATTCCGATCAAGTTTGGATTTTTTATGATTTTTAAAATTTGCTTCAAAATTGGACAAAAGTCCCTGTACTATAGTACAGGGATTTTTGTAGAATTTCATAAAAATTGACAAGTAAAAAATTCCTCAATTTTATTACATTTCCTGATTCATATACATGTACTTATGCAGTGTAGAGAAAATGAGCTGATTGTGATCAAGTTTAGATTTTTTATGGTTTTTTAAAGTTGCTCAAAAATTGGTCAAAAGTCCCTGTACTGTATATTTCACAAAAACTGACAAGTAGAAAATTCCTCAATTTTATTACATTTCCTGATGCATATACATGTACTTATGCTGTGTAGAGAGATTGAGCAGATTCCGATCAAGTTTGGATTTTCAATGATTTTTTAAAGTTGCTCAAAAATCGGACAAAAGTCCCTGTACTATAGTATAGGGATTTTTGTAAAATAAAAAAAATTGACAAGTAGAAAATTCTTCTATTTTATTTCTTCTTCTGATGGATGTAGATGTACTTATGCTGTGAAGAAAGTTTGAGCTGATTCCAATCAAGTTTGGATTTTCTATGATTTTTTTAATTTGCTTCAAAATCGGACAAAATTACCTGTACTATAGTACATATATTTTTCAAAAATTTCACAAAAATTAACATGTAGAAAATTCCTCAATTTTATTACATTTTCCGATGCATATACATGAACTTATGCAGTGTAGAAAGTTTGAGCTGATTCCGATCGAGTTTAAATTTTCTATAATTTTTTAAATTTGCTCAAAAATCAGACAAAAGTCCCTGTACTATATAGTATAGGGATTTTTGTAAAATTTCACAAAAATTGACAAGTAGAAAATTCCTCAATTTTATTACATTTCTTGATGCATATACATGTACTTATGCAGTGTAGAGAGATTGAGCAGATTCCGATCAAGTTTAGATTTTTTATGATTTTTTAAAGTTGCTCAAAAATCAGTTAAAAGTCCCTGTACTACAGTACAGGGATTTTTGTAAAATTTCACAAAAAGTAACAAGTAAAAGATTGCTCAACTTTATTACATTTTCTGATGCATATACATGTACTTATGCTGTGTAGAGAGATTGAGCAGATTCCGATCAAGATTGGATTTTCTATGATTTTTTAAACTTGCTCTAAAATTGGACAAAAGTCCCTGTACTATAGTACAGGGATTTTTGTAAAATTTCACAAAAATTGACAAGTATAAAATTCCTCAATTTTATTACATTTTCTGATGCATATACATGTACTTATGCAGTGTAGAGAGATTGAGCTGATTTCGATCGAGTTTGGATTTGCTATGATTTTTTTAATTTGCTCAAAAATCGGACAAAAGTCCCTGTACTATAGTACAGGGATTTTTCAAAATTTTCACAAAAATTGACACATAAAAAGTTCCTCAATTTTATTACATTTCCTGATGCATATACATGTACTTATTCTGTCTAGAGAGATTGAGCAGATTCCAATCAAGTTTGGATTTTCTATGATAGTTGCTCAAAAATCGGACCAAAGTCCCTGTACTACAGTACAGGGATTTTTGTAAAATTAAAAAAATTGACACATAGAAAATTCCTCAATTTTATTACATATTCTAATGCATATACATGTATTTATGCTGTTTAAAAAGATTGAGCTGATTATGATTAAGTTTGAATTTTCTATGATTTTTTAAAGTTGCTCAAAAATTGGACAGAAGTCCCTGTACTATAGTACAGGAATTTTTATAAAATTTCATAAAAACTGACAAGTAGAAAATTCCTCAATTTTATTACATTTCCTGATGCATATACATGTACTTATGCAGTGTAGAGAGATTGAGCTGATTCCGATCAAGTTTGGATTTTCTATGATTTTTTAAAGTTGCTCCAAAATCGGACAAATGTCCCTGTGCTATAGTACAGGGATTTTGTGTATGATCAGCCACAAATTTTAACTAGCCATTTACCTAATTCCATTCCTATAGTATGAGGTCACAGAACATGGTAGGGTATCAGGAGAGGATAAGATGTTGAGTGAGATCTATGCACGAGGCCCCATTGCCTGTACTATTGCAGTGACTTCAGCCTTTGAACAATACACTGGAGGAGTCTTTAATGACATTACTGGAGCTAAAGTACAACTAATAATGTACTTAATGTATTACCTATTACCTGTCTATCTATTGTATAGTCACTGGATCATGAGGTATCCATTGCTGGTTGGGGAGTTACTAGTAGAGGGGTTAAATACTGGACTGGACGCAACTCATGCACGTGCATTATCATAATATACACCTACCGCTATGTACTATTGAAAGGAAAACTTCTGTTGTTTTTCTGATTAACAAAATTAATGATGACATGGCGCTAAAATCATATTTTTTTTTCATTTATAATTCATAACAGTTAACAATATAATCATACATTATCTCTCTCTCTCTCTGTAC